CTGAATGGTTTAGAATTTCCGACTCGTTCAGCTAACATCCCCTTGGCTCCAGAATTCATGTTTGCAAAATGAACTCTCTTAGCAGTAGATTTAGCGAACCAGATTTTGTTTTGCTTAATCGGGATGGTCATACTTCCCTCAGCAGGTACCTCAACCATATACAATGACCCACACTTCATACCTTGAGCAATCACCGAATTACCATTGACCACCATCCATTTACCACCACCAAACCTTACTTCCAGTCCTTGTTTATCCAGCTGACCAACATAAATCAATTTTTTCTTCAGCTCCGGAATAACCCTGACATTCTTCAGGCTCCATGTAGTTCCCAATGAAGTAACTATATCAATATCTCTCATGCCCGTTACTTGAAGCATCTCGTCATTTGCTAACCGTACCTTTCCAAAATCTCCTTTTTTTAGATTCACCATCGTTTCCCCGTTGTCCATGGCGTGAAACGAAGCCCCTGAATCCATGACCCAAGAGTCCACATAACTTTCCATATTGAGTATCAGTGCATCATCCTCAGACACACTCTCAGCACCAGCAATGTTTAATTCTTTCTTTGGACATTGACTCTTAACATGTCCCACCTCTTGGCAGTATGTTCACCAAGGTGGTTACCACTGAAAAGTTGAAGCATTGTATGGCTTCAACTGGCCTTTCAGAAGTTTGAGAAAAGGCATGGCAGAAAACGAGAGAGAGAGAGAGAAAGAGAGAGAGTAAGTGACTAAGGAATGTCGCAAAGTTTTGGATGGCAGACAAAAGCGAAGTTGTTCAAGCCTCCAAGTGGGAGATTGTTAAGATTTATGGAGTCTCCTGAACTTTCACCTATCTCTGGAGTACTAATAGGTTTTACAATGTCATCGTCTGAGATTTCTTCTAACTCAACTTGATCCTTCTTTTCTGGTTGCTTGTCACCATTGGAGCTTTTTGCAAGTTCATCCTTGTATAGAGCATTCTCGTTGAACACCACATCCCGACTTCTGATAACTTTCTTATTCTCATTATCCCAGAAGCAGTACCCCATGTCATCCAACCCGTAACCTATAAAGGTGCACTTCCTTGCCTTTGCCTCTAGCTTGTCTCTCTCCGAGTCTTTAACTTTAACATACGAGACACAACCAAATACCTTCAAGTGTTTGAGCGAAATCTCCCGACCTTGCCATTCCTCTTCTGGAATCTTGAACCCTATGGGAACTGAGGGTCCTCTGTTGATTAAATATGCAGCTGTGTTGACCGAATCTGCCCAGAACATCTTGGGTAAACCTGCATGCAGTCTCATGCTTTTAGCCCTCTCGTTCAATGTTCTGTTCATTCTCTCAGCTACTCCATTTTGCTGAGGTGTCTCCGGAACTGTCTTTTGCATTCTGATTCCTTGGTCAGCACAATAATCAACAAATTCTTTGCTACTGTATTCGCCCCCATTGTCTGATCTGAAACACTTGATTTTCAAGTTTGTTTCATTTTCTACAATAGCTTTCCATTTCTTGAATGTGCTGAAAACTTCAGACTTATGCTTCAAGAAATAAACCCAAACTTTCCTTGTGCAGTCGTCAATGAAAGTAACATAATATCGGGATCCTCCCACTGAAGAAACTGTAGTGGGACCATAAACATCTGAATGTACTAGCTCCAACTTCCCGGACTTGGGTGGACGACCAGTCTTCACGAAAGTAACTTTCTTCTGTTTACCAAGAACACATGGCTCACAGAAATCAACTGTTACAGTCTTTAGATCTGGTATTCTTCCTTTGGAGGCTAGCATCTTCATTCCTTTCTCACTCATATGGCCAAGTCTTTGGTGCCATAGAGTAGACGCCCCAACTTCTTCAACAGCATGTGCTTCAGCATCAGAAACTTCCACCATATAAAGTGTACCCCGTTTCTGACCTCTAGCAACAACTAAGTTTCCCTTTGTCACTTTCCACTGATGATCACCAAATGTAACATGGTGACCTGGAAGAAGACATCTACATGGCACAACCAGAGGGTTTCCCAACAGTTGGCAAGGAAAACCTGGTGTGCAAATTAAAGAAAAGTCTGTATGGATTGAAGCAAGCTCCAAGACAGTGGTACTTGAAGTTTGATAGCTTCATGCAGAGGAGTGGGTATCACAGATGTGAAATGGATCGCTGTTGTTACTTGAAGAAATTCAACTCCTCATACATCATCCTGTTATTATATGTTGATGACATGTTGATAGCTGGGTCCGACATGCAGGAAATCAACAAGCTTAAGAAGCAGTTGTCCAGAGAGTTCGAGATGAAGGACCTAGGGGCTGCTAAGCAGATATTTGGCATGAGCATAGCCAGGAACAGAGTTACCGGTACATTAAAACTTTCACAAGCTAAGTACATCAAGAAAGTTTTAGAAAAGTTCAACATGGCAGATGCTAAAGCCAGAAGTACAGCTTTGGGAAGTCAGTTGAGACTCTCAAAGAAGCAATCCCCAAAGACGGAAGAAGACAAGAACCAGATGACTAAAGTTCCCTATGCATCTGCAGTTGGTAGCTTAATGTATGCTATGGTATGCACCAGACCAGACATTGCTCATGCAGTGGGAGTTGTGAGCAGGTTCATGTCAAATCCAGGAAAAGAGCATTGGGAGGGAGTAAAGTGGTTGTTACGCTACTTGAAAGGAACATCTGAGGTTGCCCTATGTTTCAGAAGAAAGGGTGTGATCTTGGAAGGGTTCGCCGATGCTGATTTGGGTGGATGTGTGGATTCAGGAAAGAGCACAACAGGTTATGTGTTCACAATTGGAGGTACATCAATCAGTTGTATGTCCAGGTTACAAAAGAGTGTTGCTCTCTCAACCACAGAAGCAGAGTATATGGCTATTGCAGAAGCAGCCAAAGAGCTTATATGATTGAAGAACTTTCTATCAGAACTTGGAATGTATCAGGAGGATTGTGTATTGCATTGTGACAACCAGAGTGCAGTTTACTTGGCAAAGAATCCAGTGTTTCATAGTAGAACGAAATACATTCAGATGAGGTACCATTTTATTCGAGAATTAATTAATGATGGAAGTCTAAATCTGAAGAAAATCCTTGGAACGAAGAATCCAGCAGATATGTTCACCAAGGTGGTTACCACTGAAAAGTTGAAGCATTGTATGGCTTCAACTGGCCTTTCAGAAGTTTGAGAAAAGGCATGGCAGAAAACGAGAGAGAGAGAGAAAGAGAGAGAGTAAGTGACTAAGGAATGTCGCAAAGTTTTGGATGGCAGAAAAAAGCGAAGTTGTTCAAGCCTCCAAGTGGGAGATTGTTAAGATTTATGGAGTCATGAACAAATTGACAAGTTCCTAAGAGTTCAAGGGCCATAAATGTAAATTGACAAATTAAACAATTGAATTGTTTAATATTATTGGACGGTGGACGGCAAAAGTAATTGAATTATTTAATATTATATGGACGGCAAAGGAAATGGAAGAATTTAATTGCGGCTCTTCGTCAAACTTTGCGGCACATGTAAATTGAAGAAACATTACGGCTATTGTTAGTATAAATAGCCCTTCTTCTTTCAATTGCAAAAATCATCACACACAACACAATGAATATAGATACACAGAAAAGAAATTAGTGAGGTATTATTTTTGTGCAGAGCCTTAATTTTTGGCAGCCAAAAAATTACGAGTGATATCTTACAGTGAGTGATCAGATTACAAGGGCAGATTTTAGCCTTGTATGATTGTAATTTTCTTTAGTGTTAATAAAATCCCCTCTCTCTTGTTCGCCCGTGGATGTAGGTCAGATTAGACCGAACCACGTTAAATATCGTGTTCAATTTCGTTTGCAATTTTTTCAGTAATTTTATTCCGCGAGTTTTGCCGAAATCATTATATCAATTTTCCGGAAGTGCTTAACTTGTTTTGTTGCATTCCCAACAAACTGGTATCAGAGCCAGGTTAGCGAGGTTTGGAGGGTACAATCATTTTTTTTTATCACGCACGAGTGTACCTGATTTGTATCTTGTTTGTCGTAATGGCTGAAGACAAGGTTGTAATCGAAAAGTTCAACGGTTCTGATTTTAGCTGGTGGAAAATGCAATTAGAAGCATTGCTATGTCAGAAAGACTTGGACATGGTACTCGGAGACAAACCGGAGAAAATGGAAAAAGCTTTTGAAGATGCGTGGAACTCAAAGGACAAGAAAGCCAAGGCGGTTATTACATTGTCGTTGACGAAGAGCGTTGCTTTCAACATCATGAATGAAACCACGGCGCGTGGTATGATGGAGGCTCTGTCAAATATGTATGAGAAGCCATCGGCGGCTAACAAGGTGTTCTTGATGAAGGAGTTGTTCACTATAAGGATGAATGAGGAAGGCTCAGTTACGGTTCACATTAACAATCTAAATTCAATTCTGTCCAGATTATCATCTGTGGGAATTAAATTTGATAACGAGACTCAAGCATCACTGCTACTAGCTTCTCTACCTGATAGCTGGTCCGGAACAGTTACTGCTGATACCAGTTGTTAGGAACCGGACCGGGTACACGCAGCGGAAACACACTATCACACACACACAAACTCACGAAAATAAAGCAAGAAGAACACAAGGATTTTACGTGGTTCGGATTTGGTGCAAATCCTACGTCCACGGGCTGCAACTAGAGAATTTTATTAAAACTCACAAGATTACAATTGGCTTGACACTCTACACTTGATGTTCTCTCAAGTTTTTGCACACCAAATATGCAAAACATACATGCATATATATAGGTGAATGTTTGCCATGTGAAAACAGAAAGAGTTGTAACCAATTTAAAGTCTACCAACTTCAAGTTTGAACATGTTGAATGCACCACTTATTTTCCAACTTTCAGTTTGAATTTGATTCTTTTATTTCACATGCATAGCCACATGTTTTCAACCTTTCATATTTTACCTAACACATGAGACAGGTTGTTCCGATCCTCATGGTTCCCATTAATAGATACCTACGCTACCTCATTTTATGCACAATATATATGAGGGAGATGGTTATCAAAATGACAGAATTAAATGCCGTAAAAGACGGTGTTGAGGAGAAAATGAGGCAAAACATTAGTAACAATCTTGAGGTTCCTGTCCAAGTCGGGGGTTGGTTGGGTGATGTAGAAAAGATCAATGCAAAAGTCGAAAATGTTTCTCGTGACACTGGCAGCTGTTTTAATATAAAGATTAGATACAGGGCAGGGAGGAATGCCTTTGAGATAAATGAGGAGATCGACAGTGTCATGAGACGATACAAAGAGATCAACTGGGCAGATCATCCAATTCCTCCAGGAAGGGTTGATTCCATGAAGCCATCCACCTCAACACCATCAGCCGAACACAATGACTTCCAATCAAGAGAGGTGACTTTTACAAAAGCACTCAAAGCACTCGACCCGAACCACAAATCCCACATGATAGCCTTATGTGGGATGGGGGGAGTAGGGAAGACAACAATGATGCAAAGGCTGAAGAAAGTTGCCGAAGAAAAGAAAATGTTTAAGTTTATTGTTGAAGTGGTGATAGGGGAAAAGACAGACCCTATTTCCATTCAGGAAGCTATAGCATATTACCTTAGTGTAGAGCTCAGCGAAAAAAATAAGTCGGTAAGAGCTAATAAGCTTCGTCGAGGGTTCAAGGCCAAATCAGATGGAGGTAAGAATAAGTTCCTCATAGTATTGGATGATGTGTGGCAGAGTATTGACCTTGAAGATATTGGTTGAAGTCCTTTGCCAAATCAAGGTGTCGACTTCAAGGTCTTATTAACATCACAAGACAGAAATGTATGCACTATGATGGGGTTGAAGGTAATTCGATTCTCCATGTGGGGCTTCTAATAGATTCAGAAGCACAGAGATTATTCTGGCAGTTTGTAGAAACATCAGATCATGAGCTCCATAAGATAGGAGAAGATATTGTAAAGAAGTGTTGCGGTCTACCCATTGCCATCAAAACCATGGCATGTACTCTTAGAGATAAAAGCAAGGATGCATGAAGGATGCATTGTCTCGTTTAGAGCACCATGACATTGAAAATGTTGCATCTAAAGTTTTTAAAACGAGTTATGACAATCTCCAAGATGATGAGACTAAATCCACTTTTTTGCTTTGTGGATTGTTTCCAGAAGATTTCAATATTCCTATCGAAGAGTTGGTGAGGTATGGATGGGGATTGAAATTATTTAAAAAAGTGTATACCATAAGAGAAGCAAGAACTAGGCTCAACACCTGCATTGAGCGGCTGATCCATACAAATTTGTTGCTTGAAAGTGTTGATGTTAGATGGGTCAAGATGCACGATTTGGTTCGTGCTTTTGTTTTGGGTATGTATTCTGAAGTGGAGCATGCTTCAATTGTCAACCATGGTAATACACAAGAGTGGCATGTGGATGATACAGATGACTCTTATAAAAGACTTTCATTAACATGCAAGAGTATGTCCGAATTTCCTAGAGACCTCAAATTTCCAAACCTAATGATTTTGAAACTTATGCATGGAGATAAGTTCTTGAGGTTTCCATAAGACTTTTATGAAGGAATGGGAAAGCTCCAAGTTATATCATACGATAAAATGAAGTATCCATTGCTTCCCTCGTCATTTCAGTGCTCCACCAATCTTCGAGTGCTTCATCTCCATGAATGTTCATTAAGGATGTTTGATTGCTCTTGTATTGGAAATATGTTGAATCTAGAAGTGCTTAGCTTTGCTGATTCTGGCATAGAATGGTTACCTTCTACAATTGGAAATTTAAAGAAGCTAAGGCTACTGGATTTGACAAATTGTTATGGTCTTTGTATAGCTAATGGTGTCTTAAAAAAATTGGTCAAACTTGATGAGCTCTATATGAGAGTGGTTAGTCAACATGGAAAGGTGGTCAACCTCACTGAGGATAACTGCAATGAGATGGCAGAGCGTTCGAAAGATCTTTCTGTACTAGAACTTGAGGTCTATAAAAATAGTGTTCAACCAAAGAATATGTCATTTGAGAAGCTACAGCGATTCCAGATCTCAGTGGGGCGCTATTTATATGAAGATTCCATAAAGAGTAGGCACTCGTATGAAAACACATTGAAGTTGGTTGTTCAAAAAGGTGAATTATTGGAATCTCGAATGAACGAGTTGTTTAAGAAAACAGAGGTGTTATGTTTAAGTGTGGGAGATATGAATGATCTTGAAGATATTGAGGTTAAGTCATCCTCACAACCTTTTCAATCCTCTTCGTTTTACCATTTAAGAGTCCTTGTCGTTTCAAAGTGTGCAGAGTTGAAACACCTCTTCACACCTGGTGTTACAAACACTTTAAAAAAGCTTGAGCATCTTGAAGTTTACAAATGTGATAATATGGAAGAACTCATACATACCGGGGATAGTGAAGAAGAGACGATTACATTCCCCAAGCTGAAGTTTTTATCTTTGTGTGGGCTACCAAAGCTATCGGGTTTGTGCGATAATGTCAAAATAATTGAGCTACCACAACTCATGGAGTTGGAACTTGACAACATTCCAGGTTTCACAAGCATATATCCCATGAAAAAGTCTGAAACATCTAGTTTGTTGAAGGAAGAGGTAAATATAGATTTTTAATGCTAATACATTTCAAAGGATCTTTTCAGTTAAATCTTTCAAAATATATTGTAATTTGATTGTATGGGGTATTATTGTTGGATGGGACTATTAATAAATGATTATCTTGCAGGTTCTGATTCCTAAGTTAGAGAAACTGCATGTTAGTAGTATGTGGAATCTGAAGGAGATATGGCCTTGCGAATTTAATACGAGTGAGGAAGTTAAGTTCAGAGAGATTGAAGTGAGTAACTGTGATAAGCTTGTGAATCTGTTTCCGCACAAGCCCATATCTCTGCTGCATCATCTTGAAGAGCTTCAAGTCAAGAATTGTGGTTCCATTGAATCGTTATTCAACATCCATTTGGATTGTGCTGGTGCAACTGGAGATGAATACAACAACAGTGGTGTAAGAATTATTAAAGTGATCAGTTGCGATAAGCTTGTGAATCTATTTCCGCACAATCCCAAGTCTATGCTGCATCATCTTGAAGAGCTTGAAGTCAAGAATTGTGGTTCCATTGAATCGTTATTCAACATCCATTTGGATTATGCTGGTGCAACTGGAGATGAAAACAACAACAGTGGTGTAAGAATTATTAAAGTGATCAGTTGTGAATCTATTTCCGCACAATCCCATGTCTATGCTGCATCATCTTGAAGAGCTTGAAGTCGAGAATTGTGGTTCCATTGAATCGTTATTCAACATTGACTTGGATTGTGCTGGTGCAATTGGGCAAGAAGACAACATCAGCAGCTTAAGAAACATCAAAGTGGAGAATTTAGGGAAGCTAAGAGAGGTGTGGAGGATAAAAGGTGGAGATAACTCTCGTCCCCTTGTGCATGGCTTTCAAGCTGTTGAAAGCATAAAGATTGAAAAATGTAAGAGGTTTAGAAATGTATTCACACCTACCACCACAAATTTTGATCTGGGGGCACTTTTGGAGATTTCAATAGATGACTGCGGAGAAAACAAGGGAAATGACGAATCGGAAGAGAGTAGCCATGAGCAAGAGCAGGTAAGGATTTCAATTTCACTTTCTTACTTAATTAATGATTAAGCTCCTGCTTTTTGAATAAAAAAGGGACAAACCATTTCTTGACTTAATGTAGCAATACAAGTCATGTATAAGAGTGACCAACTCTTTTTTATTTATAAAATGACTACAAAATATGTTTTTTCATTAGAGATCATGTATAAATGTGACTAATTTTTCATCACCTAACTTTAGTTGATAAATCTTTATAAATGTCACTAATTACTTTTCAGTAAAAATAACAAATTTAATAAATTATCAACAAAAAGCATCAACTAAAAAAATCCCACAACCCGAAATAATTTAAAAATAAAAGGATTTGACATTTAATATGAACAATTTTTTTCTAAACATGATTTGGACCAAATATCACCAGCAACTCAAGTTTGGAATCGATTCAGCTTAAAACTTGACCAGCATAATTAGATAGATGAGAGTTGAAGCTAAAGTGCCTATATAAATTCCTTTCATCTTTTTTCTTGATCTTGATAGCAAGTTGAATGATTTTCTTCTTCAAAATTGATAAAAGTCTACATTATAGAGAGACTAGCTTGAAAGTGGGTCTTGGGTCAGGTAGATGAAGATGGAAGGGAGAGTAGATTTCAAAGACACAAACACATCTTCATTTTATTTATTTATTTATTTATTATTATTATTTTTTTTTTTGATATCTTGCTCATATTTTGTTACAGATATGTGAAGTCTATTAATTTTTTTAAATATATAAAAAATAAATACATAAATGAGAAAATTAAATAAAAAATAAATTAATAAGGGCACAATAGTCTTTTTAGGTAAGACAAGGACCAAACGCGCAACAAAAATAAACAGTAGGGGCCATCCGATTTAAAAAAATAATTAGGGACCAAAAACATAAATTCCCCCAAACCATAGGGACCATTCGTGTAATTTACTATTACTTTTCGTTTTGTTCATATTTGGGTAACTATTTTTTTTGTACACATCTAGGTAACGAACTTGTTGAAAGTGTTCACATCTAGGATGTGACCTACTACAACCGATCATAATGGTCATATGTGAACACTTCCAACAAGTTTGTTACCTAGATGTGTACAAAAAAACGATAGTTACCATGATGTAAACATACCGAAAAATTAATTACCTTAGCAAGTTATTTTCACATTTAGGTTGTATGGAAACAGTTCCGTGAGACCGTGACTTCGATGGTAGATAAATTTAGTAAACTTAACCCTTCAATTAACCTACCTTTTTCTTATTAACTCAATTTCAAGCTAAATTCTGATTCTTGTTTGAAAGCAAGTTGCATCTTTATTTTTGTATTATCTTGTTGCATAGGATCCTTAGCATCTTTTAATAATTTATTTGAAGGTGAAAGATCCAACTATTTTTAATCTGTTGACATTTTCCATCATTTGCAACTGTTTCTTGAAAAAAATACCTAAAACCAAAATAACCATTTTCAAATCCAAAATTATAAGAGAGAATTGTTAATGGACATGGAATCATAAATCATTAACACAGTTCAGTACACAAGTTGCTAATTACATTTCTTGCTGTGCAGATTGAAATTCTGTCAGAGGAAGAGACATTACAAGAAGCCACTGGCAGTATTTCTAATGTTGTATTCCCACCCTGTCTCATGCACTCTTTTCATAACCTCCATAAACTTAAATTGGAGAGAGTTAAAGGAGTGGAGGTGGTGTTTGAGATAGAGAGTCCAACAAGTAGAGAATTGGTAACAACTCACCATAACCAACAACAGTCTATCATACTTCCCAACCTCCAGGAATTGGATCTATGGAATATGGACAATATGATTCATGTGTTGAAGTGCAGCAACTGGAATAAATTCTTCACCCTCCCAAAACAACAATCAGAATCCCCATTCCACAACCTCACAACCATACCTATTATGAATTGCAAAAGCATTAAGTACTTGTTTTCGCCTCTCATGGCAGAACTTCTTTCCAACCTAAAGACAATCATGATAAGAGAGTGTGATGGTATGGAAGAAGTTGTTTCAAATAGAGACGATGAGGATGAAGAAATGACTACATCTACCCAAACAACCACCAACTTGTTCCCTCATCTTGATTCTCTCACTCTAAAATACACGAGGAATCTGAAGTGTATTGGTGGAGGTGGTGCCAAGGCCAAGGATGGGAGCAATGAAATATCTTTCAATAATACCACTGCAACTACTGCTGTTCTTGATCAATTTGAGGTATGCTTTGTACATATTCAATTATTTATTTAATTTCCTTGTTAATTTCCTTTTTTCTTTGCAATATTCTATGAAAAAAATCACCAAATCACATATAAGAGATTTAACTTTTATTTCACACCCATGCGGACTCAAGAATGGGATTTGGAGGCATATAAAGTTACATTCATTTGAACAAGTATTACCTTTTATTTGTTATTTATCATTTTCATATCAATTACCTATAACATTTCTTTTTTATTTTTCTAATTAGAAGAGGTCCACATGTCTAATTAGGTTTTCCATTCTATGTGAAACCTCTATTCTGTCTGTAATCAAGCATCTTAGATTATTTATCCATTTTCATAATTGTGTTTATTTTGACAGTTTTTTTTTTTCTTTTTATTTTTATTTTTATTTTTATTTTTATTTTTATTTTTATAGTTGTAATTGCAACCTGTTATATATTCAAGTATTAATGTACATAATAATGCATTTTATACCCACTATACTAAGATAATAATTACCTAAACGGATGGATGCCATCACACTGCTACACTTCAGAAACTCTAGTAAGGGCAGTTATGGAAGTTCAATAAAATGATAATGGCATCTTTGATGAGTAATATAGGCAATTTAAGTTTTATTTCTGTTAGAGCAGTATTTAGCTAGTAGTGGCCAGTAGGAGAGGAGAATATCACCTTTTGTGAAAATCTGGTCATTGTACCCAGAATTTAGTTAAATGTAACATTTTAGATATTAGGGGTCATCAGGTGACAGATATTGTAGAATAGAACAGTATATAATATTACCCAAAACTATTTTTTCTAAGGTTGTTCTGTTAAATATGTGCTTTCTTGATTTCATTGAATTTGCATTCGTATATTTTAGGCGGTAAAGTGATTGTCTCTTCAATAAATCCCGAAATTAATTAAAAAAAAAACAAAAGTACATTTTGATGTGGAGAGCACTGGTATCATTTAGTATATAAAAAAACTAGATTTTGAATTGACTTTCTTATACAAAAGCTGTGTATATAGTTTAATTAGTTTTACATCATTTTTCCATGTGGTGTTGCAGTTGTCTGAAGCAGGTGGTGTTTCTTGGAGCTTATGCCAATACGCTAGAGAGATAAGTATAGAATTCTGCAATTCATTGTCAAGTGTAATTCCATGTTATGCAGCAGGACAAATGCAAAAGCTTCAAGTGCTGCAAATAGGCTCTTGCAATGGGATGAAGGAGGTATTTGAAACTCAATTAGGGACGAGCAGCAACAAAAACAGAAAGAGTGGTGGTGATGAAGGAAATGGTGGAATTCCAAGAGTAAATAACAATGTTATTATGCTTTCCAATCTAAAGATATTGGAAATTAGAGGTTGTGGGGGTTTGGAACATATATTCACATTCTCTGCACTTGAAAGCCTGAGACAGCTCGAACAGTTATTGCTACGGAATGAAAGTGATTGTGAAGAATGAAGAAGAAGATGCATTATTCAATCTACCATCAAAGGAGGTTGTGGTCTTTCCTCATCTCAAGTCCATTGAGCTAAATGATCTACGAGAGCTGGAGGGTTTCTTCTTGGGGAAGAATGAGTTCCAGTTGCCTTCATTAGATAAGCTTATCATCACGGAATGCCCAAAAATGATGGTGTTTGCAGCTGGTAGGTCCACAGCTCCCCAACTCAAGTATATACACACAGAATTAGGCAGACATGCTCTTGATCAAGAATCTGGCCTTAACTTTCATCAGGTATATATATATTTCTTTAATTGGCATCATCTAATTAAGAAAGATATCATTCCTGCCAAGTAAATTTACTTCAAACACATTCACACTGGTTTCAGTCTAAGTTTATGTTGTTCTAGGAAGGCCAAAATGGGAAAGCAAGATAGGGAAAAATAGTGTATTTCAGTGGAAAGGGTATTTTAGGTATTTTCTGTCAAAAGTTGTTATTGCAGGCTTTTTAGTACCTGGAATCGTGTGTGGGAGGAGCATTATTATTCTGATTTGCTTGTTTCTTTATCATTTTTTCTTAGCCTCTCGAACAGCTAGAAACCCTTTTAATCTTTTGATTTGGAATGACGAAATTTTTCCCTGTTACTCCATTTGATTGTTGTTCTTCATGGTTCTAAGTGAATTATTGGCTCATCTGTTGCTTCTTTTGATTGTTATTTTCATATCATGTTGTCACTTGAATCAAGCTTTTCCATTTTCAACCGGGGCAAAAGGTCAAAACTAACCTACTTTATGAGATCAAAAACAGCAACCCATCGGATAACTTTTAGTTGGAGTTAATAGTTACAATTACCATTGTGATTAATAATTATAATATCTTGTATTAATTCATAAAAATTGGTACAGCACATATATGACATTTCAAAGGTTTTTGTTTGACATATATATGCCTCTGGCGTTTTCTTTATTGGACTTGCAGACCTCATTCCAAAGTTTATACGGTGACAACTCGGGCCCTGCTACTTCAGAAGGGACAACTTGGTCTTTTCATAACTTGATCGAATTAGATGTGGAATGGAATTTTGATGTTAAAAAGATCATTCCATCCAGTGAGTTGCTGCAACTGCAAAAGCTGGAAAAGATTCATGTGGATAGTTGTTATGGGGTAAAGGAGGTATTTGAAACTGCATTGGAAGCAGCAGGGAGAAATGGAAATAGTGGAAGTGGAAGTGGTTTTGATGAATCGTCACAAATAACTACTACTACTCTTGTCAATCTTCCAAACCTAAGAAAAATGAAGTTAGAGTATCTCAATGATCTGAGGTATATATGGAAGAGCAATCAATGGATAGTATTTGAGTTTCCAAACCTAACAAGAGTTGAAATTAATGACTGTAAAAGGTTAGAACATGTATTTACTAGTTCCATGGTTGGTAGTCTATGGCAACTCCAAGAGCTAGATATTAGTTGTTGCGGCCATATGGAGGAGGTGATTGTTAAGGATGCATATGTTTCTGTAGAAGAAGACAAAGAGAAAGAATCTGATGGCAAGATGAATAAGGAGATACTTGTGTTACCTCGTCTAAACTCCTTGATATTAGTAGACCTTCCATGTCTTAAGGGGTTTAGCTTGAGGAAGGAGGATTTTTCATTCCCATTATTGGATACTTTAGAAATCTACAAATGCCCAGCAATAACCACCTTTACCAAGGGAAATTCCGCTACTCCACAGCTAAAAGAAATTGAAACAAATTTTGGCTCGTTTTATACTGCAGGGGAAAAAGACATAAACTCTCTTATAAAGATCAAACAACAGGTAAATCAGATCTTTGTTGCTTTAATAATTCTTAAACTACATTTGAAAAGTTTCATGCAAGGTTTTTTGTTATATTGTCAAAAACCGCAACCTACATTTTCAGCTTTATATTTATGTACTTTATGCAGGATTTCAAACAAGACTCTGATTAATGTGAAGTGAATATTAAAGGTAAATTATATTTTCATGTTCCTAGTTGCCTATTAATTAATGGCCTTTTAGTTCATGATTTTTGGATGTATTCTTCATGATGATGTGAATCTTCTAATACCCCATTCATTGTTTGGTTGAATGTTGACTCTATGTCAGGATGAATATTCAAGGGAAGAATTGTTCATCATATGAAGGACATTAAAGAACATGGATGCTATGAAGATGTTGGGAAAACATATGTATCAAGTAGCAAGCTGCTTAATGATCTAAGTTTGTTGGTTGAGGATGTTGATTTTAATATTTCAAATTCATTGGTATCATTATATGGGCTTATCAATAGTGTTAATGGGATAATGAGTGACTTAACCTAAATTATGTTGTTGGTAAATGTTGGACAAGTATGGAAAATTAGGAATGACTTGTGAAAAATATATGGAAAAGTAGGATTGAGATTTTCAATGAAAATATTATGAAACTATAGTATATAAATAAATGCAACATACTGTTTGGGTATCTTGGAAGCACATATCATGAGAGTAACTAGAAGTAGAGTTTATTCCAAGGGTGTAGAAAACGTTAGACGTTAGCTAGTAGGTGGACTGGGGTCTAGGGATTAACCGGTTAGGCGGGGATTAATCGGGGACCATTAATTATTAAGAAAATTATTCAATAATTTATAAATCTAACTTTAATCATAAGAATATTAATAAATAAGCATAAAAGTTTAACAAGCACAACAATTTATTATCCAATTAATAAGAAAAATTATTCAAATTTTAATATATCTTAAGAAAAGAAGTAAATTTAGGTATTTGCATATTTGAAAACATAGAAATTTTGCAATTTTGGAGAAAAACTTTAAAATTTATTTATTTATTTATTTTTATTATTATTATTATTATTATTATTATTATTATTTTATATATTAGTTGAACACTAAAATACTATGAACTTTTGAAATTTTGAAAATTTTGGTTTAATATTTAAAAATTTAAAAATTTGGCCGATTAGGCCGCCTAGGACCAATTAGAACCGTCTAGTTTCGACTTTGACCCTCTTTGACCAAAACCGATTAAGCCGACCGATTAGCCTTAATCCTATTCGGTTGAAGACCGCCTAGTGATTAATCCCCAATTAATCGGTCGCCTAGACTGATTTTTACAATACTGGTTTATTCCCATCTTCAGTTACTTATAATTTTCATTTCTTACCTGCAAAAATCTGATTAAACTTTAGAGTTATTTCAATTTTTTGCCAACCAAGAAAAGAGACCGGTGCAAATTTTCATATAAAGGCCACAAGTAACTGTAAGTATAAAAACGATCACTAAATAGTGACTACAATATACTGATCATTAAATATGTGACAAACTGTTTCGTCATTTGATGTTGTCACTAATCAATGAAATGTTTTACCTAATTAGTGACAATAAAAAGTTGTCACTGTCTTATCCAATTAGTGACCATAGAAAGTTGTCACCGGTTTATCCGACTTGTGACCAAAAAAGTCGTCATTGATTTATCCAATTAGTTACAAAAAAAACTCGTCACTGATTTTTGTTGTTGTTTTTTGTATTTAACCAATTTAAGTAACAAGCATGGAACTTTGTAAATGGTAAGATATTTCATGAGCAATTTAAAAATATAAAACTTGTCCTCAAATTATAAAAACGAAAGGTTGGGGGTAATTATTTTCCCTTTGGCATTGTGTCAATTATCATGCAAACTTACATCATGCCCTCAATAAAACCTTAACACAACTTTCCAGCAAATTACATAAACAGAAAACGAAAAAAAAAGATTCAACTCTTCGGGTTATTCAAACAACATGATTTGCTTCAAGACGTTTTTTTTTCTGCAATAACTGTCTCATCTGTTTGCAGCCTCTATAAGCAATCCCCCCAAGTCAATCTACAATCTATATAAGATAATTCACATGTATTTGATACCCCCACCACAAGCTAAAAGCATCATCACAAATAATTAATGTCAAAATAATATTCAAATGGAGAATCATGTTGCCTATTGTACACTCTCAAACACGGAACACCTAAATAAGGTTATGACAAAAATAATATTTTTTTAGTTTATAAAAAATTAAAAATTATAGTTTGGCTAAAAGAATTAATTTTCTTTTACATAGATTTAAATCACTAAAAATTACACGGTTAAAACTGGTTATATTGCAATTTTTCATTCCATTCAATGATGGAATGAAAAGAAATCACCCCCTCTAATAAGGATTGAAAAATAACAAAAAGGAAGGAATCACATTTCCTCTATAATGCTCACATTCCATTCCGTCAGCCAATTCAAAATGGTTTTTTCATTCAAAAAGTTTTTTTCATTAAAATGGAATGAACCATTTCGTTTTTTTTTCTAATTAAGTAAATTTAGAATCTTACATGATTAAGTGGATTATCCTCTAGTGGGCTTGAATAAGCTTTTTCAGCCTCAACCCATGCCCTTTGCTTTAAGTAACATTTCTTCTAACCTTCCTGCAATAATCAACTGGTTAATTTTTTTTAAAGCACAACACCTTAATAAAAAAGAAAGTAGAAAGTAAAGTAATGGTCAATTTCTGAGCAGGGGCAGAATGGTTATAAAAAAAAAATTGGAAGTGCAATGCATTTTCACTCAAAAAATATCTTTTATAAACTTTTCTTATGTCAAACTCAAAAAATTTGTAAACCGTAAGGATACCCTTTTTTCTAATGAAACCAATCCCCATCAAACTGCATCCAAAATCAAAATTAACACAACTAGAGGACTAGAATTATAGTTACACCAGGTCTTAGATCCATTAAACTCCAAAAAATGACCAAAATACCCCTTGGAATTTTTATTGTACCAGATCTTTAGAACATCAAACCAACTCTTTCTAATCCCTTGCCAACCATAGTCACGGTGTTTTATACAGTCTTGAATATACATGTCGCATTTAACAGTAACCCACAAAAGACAACAATGTCCTTTGTTTTAATTTTCGCACCAAGTCGTTCATCAGTATTGTACTTTGTTCCAGTAAACCTAAACCCCACAAAATTGCACCAAAGAACAAGGATGACACAAATAGAACAAGTTTCCTTCATTTAACTGAAGTTTTATACACTACACTACATCCTAAATCCACATTATATCATATAGCTATATTGATTTGGATGATCTAGCATATACAAATTTCCAATAAGTAAAATACCCTAGAAATAATTCAAAGTGCAAGTAACTTTTAAATTTTATAAGATAGACTTACTTACTTCATCACGAAGGGAAGATGCCTCATGTTGACCTCCCATATCTTTATCTACACATCCAATATCCTTTGCAAACCTAAAAATGTAGACTCATAAAGTCACATATTTAATATCTTGTTATAGTTATAATATTACAACATTATAACTATGCATTTGTTACCTATTTTGATCACGTATGTTGCCAGTAGGCGGAATAACTTGTCCTGTTCACCAAGCTACATTTTAAATAGGTTGAAAGTACAATGTTGTTATAGAAAAAGAAATGGAAGCTAAATGCTATAATACACAAATAAACAAACGCGTGATGCTATTTATTGCGTCTTTCCATTTTTATATTATATGTACATAGAATGTATAGTTTTCACTCTACTTTAATGATGTCCCCATAAGTACATTTGCAGTAAATTTCATACTTATTACCTTCTTAAACTTCAAAAAGGTCTTAACTTCTTGTTGAGTTTCTAGCCAAAAACATTATGCTCGGTCAAATTTCCCACTCTTGGCATGTCCTTTGCTTTCTTGTGAGTTTTTTGGCAAAGAAATTTCTATGTTTTTTCCTGTAAATTTTCTCCAATTAATGGGAATAAACAAATTCATAAAATTCAATCAAACATAAAATATTTTTACCTTCCAGGGGTCGTCCTTATCTATTTTACTTCAGCATCTCCTAAGCAAAAAATAGAAATTCAAACATGGGAACTCAAAGGAAAAATAGATTCAAATAAAAGATTATATAGATGGAAAATGCTTACGCGTTAAACTCTTAGGTCTTCATTTCAATATGAACCAAAATCATAGCTTCCAAAAGAAACATAATCGAGTGCAACGATAAACATTTAAAGATTTTAAACCTGGAACATAGAAAAACATATTTGCAGATCTTGATGCTTCTTCATCATTTCAAGAATCAAAAAACTATATAGGTATGAAAAATAATCTTTGGAGGGCTTCTACATCCTTATCTAAGGTACATGAAGAATCACCAGTAGCTTGCAATTTATCACACCACTTACATTGACCTATGTTATTTAACATCTCATCAAGGTCATCATCATTTAAGTCATCACTAGCCCCATCAACTTCATCAACTGATATATCATCATCGGACACATCATATGACTCACCATGATATATCCACCTAACATAACTAACAACAATTCCCATTTGCATCAAATGTGAAAATAAAGTTGTTTGGTTATGATGTTGAAAATTATTGCATATTTTGCAAGGACATGGAACTTTTGACAACACTTCTCTATCATGTTATGCAAAATTATGGAATTCATTCACACCCAACTCAAATCTTGGGTCCTTTGTCCCACGAACTATATTCATACAAGACTTTTCCATATGCTGCGATAAAAGAAAAAAAAATCCTGAAAATAGCACAAATGTATAATGAAAATGGTATAGAAAACTCAGTTGGGGTTGTTAAAATAAGCAATAACTTAATCTAAAGCTGAGCAAAGGGCATCGCTCTGGATAATTTCAAGTTATGTTGGTCTAAACAGAGAGGAAACAAGAGTTTTCAGAATAATGACATGTTAATAGCATAATCTATAAAAGCATCAGTTGACAAAAACAATAAAACAATCAACAACCACCAAAATAGATTTTCAGAAACAGTTTAGTTTACAAAGTGTAGAACTACATACACAGGTAATGTATCCAATGAAAATGATATTTTGCAAGAGAATATGATTTTCATTTATACCAAAATAGGGAAATTTTGGTTACCCAAATCATAACAGTTTGAGCTTTTGTATGTGACCTAAACATAGATCACGTTCTTAAATCGATACATAACAAGTCTGATAGCTTAAGGAACTATTTAGGCTGGAGGGAGCCGGCCGCTACGAACGCTCGCCAGGTGCTCGCTAAGCACGTTGCACACCACCCCCTAGCGTGCGCTAGGGGCTTGCTACCGGTGAGTCTCTAGGAGTATAGCGAGAGGGAGAGAGAGAGGGTTTGGTTTGCAGTGATTGGTGCTAGCGGATCCCACTTCACATTTGACAAATTCATAAAAAAAATCCCTCCGTTTTTGGCTGTTGGGAGGTGTCGAAGCTTTGATTTTTGTTCTAAAATTTGGTGAGTTTAAACAGAGAATTGGGGAAGAAGATAAAGAACTTACATATATGGTCCTTAAAGTTTCAGTAATTTGGTATTTTTTGTCCCAAAGTTTAAACAACTTGATATCCAAAAATAGAAACCTTTTTATTTAGTATTATATTTTAAATTAGTGTAACCTTTTTTATTTTAATAGTAAGTGTTTGTATTTTTAAAAAATAGAATTTATGTAATATTAAATGCTTGTGTATTAAAAAAAAGAATTTATGTAATATTAAATATTTGTGTATTAAAAAAATATAATTTAATTAAATTTGAAAAAGAAAATAAAAAAAAACATGAAATGCTAGTAGTGTTACCACTGGATATGAAATGCTAAGAATTAAGTGCTAAGACAAAAAAAAATGATGTGACACTCAAAAAGGTGATATGGTAAGGTGCTAGGAGTGTTACCGCTCCCTCTAGCCTTAAGATAATGAATTTGGAAGCATTTACAATGGATTTCCTTATCTGATTGAAGAATAAATTACAAGAGGAACTAACATAGAACAAATAAACTCACTGTCAAAAGACAAATCATAGAGATTCACAGCCACATAGAAAGAAAAAAATTGGAATTAAACCTAACAAAATCGGAAACATAGAAATACACACAATTGAGAGAGATATCGAGAGAGTGAGAGGGATACCAGAAACACAATGACCATAAATGGTAGATGCGATGAACGTAGAAGGAGAGACGAATGGAGATATGAATATGGTCTACATATCAGTGTGAATATGAATGTCGTCAACAAAATAGTTGGTTTCGAGATGGCCTGTCGAGCTTTGGGCGCGCTTCCTCAGTTTTGGGCTTTCAAGTACTACTTCAACTCCTCTACCCAGTCTGGCGTGCATACGTTCTCTTAGCGGCGGGGCATCCATGCATTCATCATAAACCAGAAAGCCCCTAAGAAGAACGGGTATGACAAATAGCAATGGGTGAACCGCAACTTGGTCGGTTTTGGCTATCCCAGTCGAACCGGTTTCTCTGACCGGACGCCTCAACTCTTGAGGCAGTTATGCGATGGGAGATGCCGAGATCCCCATCCGAGATCAGGAGTTTTATGGGATTAGTTGGATACTATACGAGATTTATCAAGGATTTCTCAGAGATTGCGGTTCCTCTCACCAGATTGACCCGGAAGGGAGATTGTGCAAAGCTCATTCGAGACCTGAGCAGCAGGCATCATTCGAGACCCTTCACCAGAGATTGTGTGAAGCTCTGGTGTTGGCCCTTCCGGAGGGAGTGGAGGACTTCGTATTCTATTGTGATGCGTCTATTTCAGGGATGGGTGCAGTGTTGATGCAGAGGGGTCACTGATGGGTTTTATGCATAAGAACAATCCTATGTGCTCATACAAACCCTAATGCTTGGATCTAGGTTTCTCTATTGTACATGCAATGAATCCAAGACTTAAAAACCCTAATTTAGCATACATAATTTCGAAATTAACATATAACATCAGATCTAGATGTTTACCTCTTCAAATAGTAGCTTGAATCTTCTTCTCTTGAGCTTAGAATCACAATTGTAATTCCTCTAATGGACCACAAACACCACACAAGCAAGAAGGAAACTTTGAGAGAGAGGAGGATGCTAATTTTCGGCCTAGGGTTTCTCTTGGGAAGCAAGTCGGGCCGAAAATTGCATGCAAGGGTCTCTATTTATACTATAGGCTGCTAGGATTTCAGTCTAAACCCTAATGGACAACTTATTCACCAAGCAGCCCAAGGAACCTTCTGGAATAAGGCCTTGGACGAAAATATGATGATCCTTCATCATAATTTCGTTCCCCCTTAGTCCATTAGGTTTCCAAGCCCAAAACTCAACTATCACACATTTGACAGTTTATGCCCCTTTATTTAATTAATCTCTTTTAGTCACCAAATTAATTCCTAATTAATTTATGACTAATACTAATTAAATAAATATGATTTCTCCTTTAATATATTATTCTTATAATATATTAATAAACCATAATATCCTCTCTCTTTCCTTAAATTACCTTGTCGAGTTGCTTTGGTGAAGGCAACCCAAAAGGACCATGCATAACCGAGTCAAGTACATACCAAATATAGTTACGGGCTTAGACACTAATCCAACAGTCTCCCACTTGGATAAGTCTAGTAACTATATCTCACATACGACTTCAGGATCCGGTTAGCAATCGTAGCTCTTATACGCTTCTGTCAACTCTGATCAAAATCATGTCCTTCAGATAAGGGATCGTATAATCCTCTGTTCTAGATATCATGCTGACAATACTTGTTGTCCAGCATTTTGTTTCTCGATCTCTGATTCGTTCGACATAGAATTCAGTTGAACACATCAACCTCATCCTGACCGGGCCCGTCACATAAGTCAAACCAAATCATCAAGTGGCCAAGATATCGATTTTATTCTCTTAGAATAAAAGGAACATAAAACTTCGACTTATATGTTTTTATCATTTACTAGCTAAGTCACACATAATAATGCGTTTTATAACATCAAGTTACTGATGCGTTTTCGCATTATCAATGTATAATCAACTAGTAAACAATAACCATATCTATAGGTTTAAAGATTATATGATATTATCATCTTGCGATCACTTGTGATAACTTTCATGAAGTGATACTAGCAAGTGCGGGTTTATTCCAATGCTCAAAACATATTTCATAAGCACTCATAAACTTTGTAGCAAACCTTTACTATGTCTAAAACCTTTTAGACAATCTACAAACAAATTTATGACAATCTTCTTTCATATCTACTTCCAACATATGAGCGATTGTGGACCGTTCGAATAATCTTATTATTCAGGAAGTCAAAACATGAAAAACCGAAACAATAGATAAATAATCAACATAAGATAGTAACTTTCTTATAATAACACACCTTATTTAATCATCAAATGTTGAATACAAAATTATCAATTACAAGTTTCCTACCTATCTAATCTAAACTAATATCGTCCTTTAGCCCAACGCTCCTAGCGTGCTTCAAATGCTTGACCCTACTCAGTCCCTTCGTAAGGGGATTTGCTGGGTTATCTTCTGACGATACCCTCTTCACAACGAGGAGTCCCTCTTCTACCCGATGTCTAATAAAATGGTATTTCCTGTCGATATGTCGAGATCTGCCATGATCCCTTGGTTCCTTGGTCAAGGAAACCGCTCCTTAATTATCACAGAAAATTTCCATGGGCTCCTTTATGGATGGCACAACTCCAAGGTCTCCTATGAAGTTCTTCAACTATATAGCCTCCTTTGACGCCTCGCTTGCCGCAATGTACTCTGATTCGCACGTTGAATCAGCTACGGTCTCTTGCTTGGAACTTTTCCAAGTCACTGCTCCTCCGTTCAGGGTAAAGACCCAGCCTGACTGCGATCGGTAATTATCCCGATCCGTCTGAAAACTAGGGTCACTGTACCCTCGCACCCTTAAGTCATCACTCCCACCGAGTACTAGAAACCATTCCTTGGTCCTTCGTAGGTACTTAAGAATATTCTTGACAACAATCCAATGCGCTCTACCAGGGTTCCCTTGATATCTGTTGACCATGCTCAAAGCGAATGCCACATCAGGGCGAGTACAGGTCATAGCGTACATAATCGAGCCAACTGCGGAAGCGTAAGGTACTCGGCTCATATCAGCTATCTCTGCCTCTGTACTCGGGCTCTGAGTCTTACTCAGTTTGGTATTGCATTGAATTGGCAACTCCCCTTTCTTGGAATTTTCCATACCAAAACGTTTTAGTACCTTTTCCAAGTATGTATCCTGACTGAGTCCTATCAGTCTCTTACTTCTGTCTCTCACTATCCTTATTCCCAGAATATATGCAGCCTCTCCGAGGTCCTTCATAGCGAAACACTTCCCAAGCCAGGACTTGACCTCCTGCAAGGTAGGGATGTCATTTCCTATGAGTAGTATGTCATTGACATACAATACGAGGAAGCTCACTATACTCCCACTGGCCTTGACATACACACATGACTCATCTTCATTTCGCAGAAAGCCAAACTCTTTGACATTCTCGTCAAAACAAAGATTCCATCTGCGAGATGCTTGT